AAGAGAGAGGGGAAGACAACAGCTAAGTGGATAAGAAGACACTAGCATGAAAATCAAAAGAAGAGATGAAAGGAAAACAAAAGGTTGAATAAGAACTAAAAAAAAGAGCAAGAATACATGTACACCTGTAGGGTTAGAGACTACATTCATTGGTACAGATTTGTAATTGTATAATGAATGTAAGCTTTCTATTAAAAAAAACAAAAAATACAAAGAAATGGAAATTTAGTAGTACAGTTCCAGGTTCAATATAAATCAGGTTGGATGCAGCCTGGAAGTAGAAGGAGCTGGACATGTCTGCAAATGCAGACTGAAAGACAGGGATTTTTTTTGACATCTAAGTGTAAATATTTTCTCTGTAGGAGTACTGAGCAGAATCTTGGTCAAACAGTTTTCTGCCTGTAAAGTTGGTTTCTACAGCCAGCCTAATAGCTAGACTTTGTATACAATCATAAGATTAAATGTTACGTTAAAGGCTGAAGGGAAAAATTCTTCTCTTATTTTTGCCCATCATCTAGCCCTGTTGATCTGAGTGAAGCATAACTGGCAGCAGCCATAAACCCATTATCTGTCCTAACCTGATCACTGAAGTTGGGATGTGGTTTCTTCTTGGGGTGATAGATGGAAAAAGGAAAAATAAAAGAGTAAACCAAAAAAGAAAGACAAAATCACGTAAGTTTAGAGCTTTTGATAACCACTCTGGGCTGTGATGATGTGCATCATTCTAATAAACATGCTAGATCCCTGCAAAAACTAACCTCCCCGTTTGTTTCTGCTGCTGTAGGGATCCTCGATGTGACTGATCCACTGCCTGCTCTGCGCATGGTATGAACACCGGGGAAGAAACGTGCTTGTAGCAATAACTATGGAGAGTCTCTCCAGCATCCACGGGCTCTGCTTTCTCTGACACTACGGTAACACAGGGAAATGGCGAGGAAACAAATTCAGGACAGAGATTTTTCTAAAAACTGACTTTGGAGGAGTGATTCACATGGCTCTAGATTAATACAAATTAGTATTCCTTGCTCCTATCAATTCTCGAGCTAGGGAGAAAGGAAACAGGAGATCAGGGATAGTATCATCCCTGGGGAATTTCAAGATCATGTTAAATTTACAAACAAACCAGATGAAAATGGAAAACACAGGCTTTGTTACCAAAAGGGGCATAAGAAAACCCCAGCTCAATTCATGCACAGATAACCAAGAGGTCCTAGAAACGGCAACTGTGCTCTCTGTTGGTCATCTAATCCCATATTTTGACGCCATGATTGTTTAGATCAGTGCTGTAATTGAGCCCGTGAACAACACACCACCACTTGAATACCTACGTATATCAAGTATTTGGTCTGGTCTACTAGATCATGAGCTCGGAGTATGGCGTGGGAGTCGGGTAAGGGAATGCCTGTGATTCCCTGTTGTTACAATTTAATCCTAATTCCCAGAGGAGCATTAGGCAGAAAGATATGATGGACCACCCCACAGAGATCCAAACAGCTGTCAAAACTCACAGCTGCTTTTTTACTACCAGAGAGGGGGAAAAGATTAGCCACTAACTTGTCAATGAGTTGCGCCTCGAAAAGAGGCAACGAGTACTGCTAGGAGGATTTTGACGCTTTAATACAGGGGGCATTAAATTGCACAAGCTTTGGGAGAAGAGGGTGTGAGAAGTCAGTCAGATTTGTGACAGAAAAACCAAACCAGCCCCAGAACTGACAGAAGGTTCAAGACCAAGTATCAGCCTTTTAACTGGGTTTCTTTACAGTTACCTACGCCGCTACAAGGTGCTGCTTTTGGAATGGGAAAGGCAGCTTTTGCCGCCTGCCACAGCGGGAAGAATACAGAAAGTTCGGGCACGTGTACCACCCCTCTCTGCCGGCGAGGCCGGTGGCACACGGCGTGCGGTGTTGAGAGTGC